GTTGCGAACACGGATAGTTGGCTGTGACGTAGACGCACGCTGTTGTTGCGGGACTAGCGCAGCCAGTAGTACTGCTGGCACCGGTCCGGGAGGAGTCACTGGCTGGAGCAACTTCACAGAAGACCGGATGAGGTGGCGATGTTGGAGGAGCGATCGGTAAGTTGCTCAACACTGTACCCTCGCCCTTGTCGTCGACCCACACTTTCGCTCCCAATGGCAGAATGGAGAGCGACTTGGCTGCGAAGCATTGGTCGAAGTGATCTTCTTGGCGATGCTTAGCCTCCTGCTCCTTGGCCCGGAGAGCGGTGATGTCTGGCCAGGATGGTTGCAGGAGATCAGGTGGGCACGGAAGATTGGTGCGGAGCCTGAGGGCGTACAAGAGTTCGGCGGGTGAATAGCCGTTAGGCAGGGGTGTAGAGCGATATGCTAAGAGAGACTGCTGTAGATCACCTTGCGCAGGGATGAGTCGTTTGGCAGTCTGCACGGCTTGTTCTGCTTCGCCGTTGCTTTGAGGATGCTTCGGGCTGCTGGTCCGATGCGTGATGTTGCACGACGACATAAACTGTGCAAAAGCGTCGGAAGCGAACTGTGGCCCGTTATCGCTGACGAAAATGTCCGGATAGAGTAATGACGGCTCGTGACGTAGTCGATGAGAGACAAGCGACATCAATTTAACGGGAGGAATAGTCGACGGTGATCACGTACTGGTGGCCGTCGACGTCCCTGAGAACCGATGCGATACCGACCGTCACCTTCTTGCTCAGGACTGGCTCTCTGCTACTGATGCACTTTGAATCTGCTCGCCAATGCTTTCTCTGTTCTTATTAGTGTTCAGCTGCTTACCTTATAACCCTGCTGCCATCATCACCAATATTCTTATTCTCATGCACATGTCCCAGAACCTGCTACCCTTCGCAGTCTCCATCACCAAGAGCACTGTGCTCTTCTATCTCCCAGCTCTCTCTCTCTCTCTCTCTCTCTCTCTCTCTCTCTCTCTCTCTCCTTCTTCTTCTCTTCTTCTCCCCCCCCCCCCCATCTCCCGATAATTATTAGCTCCCGTTTTCTTTCGACGCGTTTGCTGTGCAGTGAAGCCAAGACCCTAGGTCGGTGCGACTCAACAGGTTGGTAGATCCAGGACCATCAATACCTACCATCTCCATAGAGAACAGTTCACTCTTGTGCATGGTGTCTGCAGTGAACTGACCCTTGATGGATAGAGGTACACCAGATGGACCAAGGAGTTTGGTACTGGATGGTGTGAGTACAGGGCGTTGTACGAGATTCTTTTAGTGGAGTGCGTGATACACAATACATCGGCACCTGTGTCGATCTTGAATATCAAATTTGTCGAGCAAACAGGCCGACTAACTGACCAGGAGTCAGTGGACTGGGAAGAACTGGTGTTGGAGGACAGCTCTGCCACAACACCCATGAATGGCGACGGGGACGCTAGCGATTCATTTCCGACAGCTCTGGCACCACGTGTGGTTGCTGGAGTGGAGAGACAGACGACGCCGAAGTGGCCCTTCTTGCCGCATGAATTACACTTGTGACCCAACGCAGGACACGCAGAACGGTTACTCTTGTGCGAACCAGCGTGGCCACACCACGGACTTGCTGTAGTTCTGCTCTTCCTCTGCATGGACGGCGTTGGTGCAGGCTCCGGTGGAATGCTGCTGCGCTGGAGACGACTCCTTGCTGCAACATCTCCGGAGCTTTTCTCGGCCTGCCTGGCCCTGAGAACTGCGTCCGTGACGGTGAGTTTTGCAGGCTCAATCTGCTGCAGCTCCTTAGCGACTTGACGATCCAGAATGTGAGCCACGAGGCGATCTCGAATTCTGTTGTCCTTCTGGTCACCGAAATCACAGAAAATAGCTACGGCGTGAAGTTTCCGAACAAATTCTTCCACAGACTCTCCTGGAAGATGGACACACTGTTGGAAAAAGGTCCTCTGATGAAACAAATTCAGGCGAGGCGATATCCCGCAAACCGGCGTTTCCAAGCCGGCAAGGCATCTGGAATGGAGAAATCAAAGTCTGCAGGCGGCCCGAGCTTGGCCATTTCTACACGAAGTGTAGACCTGGTTGACTAACTTCTGACACCATGTTATGCCATGTACTGACATAAGGAAGTGGTTTATTTTACAGACAGATGAGTGTAGATAATAGTGAAGAGTCAGAGAAGCCATGCCCAGCAAAGCATGGCATAATGCGTAGCACGGGGGTAGTGCGAGGTCACATACCGTGTATACATGGCGACAGACAGGGGAGGACTATGCCGTGAATGGGTGAAAGGATAACATAATACAGGATAGGACACAAATGAAATGTACGGCCATGACGAATAAGAAACCTGCATGACGAATATAGAAAAGGGAAATAAAAGTTGCTGATGCGATTTCATGATAAGTATTTAATTCTATGCCCCAGGTCCGAGTCTAGACTCATACTGCCACAGTATTCCCACCCAGAGAACGAGTGCGGGAACAATCAAGTGAACGATAAGAATTCAAAAATTACAGGAAAGAAGTACAGTATGGAACACAAGTAGCGGAAAGCGGATGATGCGCAGTGCAGCAAGTCAATCAAGCAAATGCGCAGGCTTAACATGATCAACAGAGACAGTCTGGTCTTTACCATTGATACGCAGAGTGAAGTACTTGGGACTGCGCTTGACCACGGGGAAAGGACCATCATACGGCGGTTGGAGTGGTAGCCGAACTGCGTCACAGCGAAAATACACTTTAGCGGCTGTGTCCGAATCGTGGGGCAGATAGACAGGATTCATGCTAGTACGGACAGGAAGAGGACAGATCTGCCACAGGAAGGTAGACAGACGAGATTCGTAATCACTGCGATCGCTGGCAGGAGTCAGGGAACTAGACAGGAAGAATTCACCAGGAAGGCGCAGGGTTGTACCGTAAACCAGTTTGGACGGTGAACAGTTGCTATCAGCCTTGGCCGATGTCCAGATGCTGAGCAGAATAGGCGGTAGCTCTTCCAGCCAGTGGGTTGAGTCAGAGAGCGTCAGGCGAAATAGCACGTCATAGTACATTTGAGATCAGCGGGAAGAAGATGACGACGTCCACTAAATTAGTATTTGTGCACACGAATCTGCTGTGTGTGTGACTCTGTGTGTCAGCTATGATATCATCTTCTGTCGTTCCATGCCTAGCATGTACGTCTGAACCATCCTGCAAAGTTTGAATGACGTAGGTTGAGCGATAGCTCCGCGAAACATTCTTTTTGAAATTCTCTTCATAGTATATCTTCCACCATTGAAATTTCGAATTTCTTCAAAAAAAGTGCTGAGAGGGGTGGCTTGCAACCTCGATATGGCTTGTTCCAGGCATGCTTTGGAGCTATCTTCTGTTGAAGTAGTGGCGGAAATCTGCCCTGCAACTGCTACAACAACAAATGATTCGATCTAAGAAAGGGTGAGACCGCGAATCTCGGTTGAATATTGAGTATGTCAAGCCTTTTCATGACGAAGATGGAGTTCTTTTTGGAGATGGACGTCGCGGCAAAGGACATGGTGTCCGACTTCTGGCGTCTGATGAAGCCAGGGTCCAGGGATCATTTGTCCAGTCAGGTCGGCAGCCTAACCGTCGGTAAGCTTGTGTTTGGATCCCGTTCTGCTCGATGTGGTAGATCACAAACAATTTGGTGTCGCACAAATTGATCTCAGCATCGTGCGTACGGTATTTTATGTTCAGAAAATCCCAAAGTGTCTCTGTGTGGCCCTCCTATGCCACGAGAAACTCCAATCAGGCTGCTATGTCCTTTGCCTTCATGATTGAATGTCCACTTCGTTTGAACAACGAACACAACAATCGAGGACGGCTTTGCAATGAAAAATACAGCTATACTGGAGCTGAAAAAAGAAAGAAAATAACGTGCTCAGGATGAGAATTGAGTACACCCATACAGGTGAAACGCAAATTTTTGTGAAAAATGGGTGTCGCCGACTGACCAGTAATTTCGCCTGACGAGTCCGCAGTCATGACTTGACGTGCCGATGGAATGGGTGAAAGGATAACATGATACAGGAAAAGTAAGTTACAGCAGTGCAGCAAAAGTAAGTTACAAAGAGTGCACACACGCATGAATGGACCGTTGTTGCATGTACTTCACACTTGGGCAGTTCGCCAGCCAACCGCGCAGGCATGCAGAGACTCTTTGTAACTTACTTTTGCTGCACTGCATGCTTAGTACTCTACTCTACATGACTTTCGTTCACTTTGTTTGGTGGTGTTTGGTGGCTCGCCAAAATTCTTAAACCATCACCTAGCCGATAGAAAATTAATGTTAGCAGCTTGTGATTGGATTTCTCACCTGCCATTTTCTTGGAACCCCTGGCACTGTGTTGCTGGAGAGGTTAGCAGCTTGTGATTGGATTTCTCACCTCCCATTTTCTAGGAATCCCTGGCACTGTGTTGCTGGAGAATGGCACCTATGCATAAAACATGGCGGCCAGGTCGCCATCGCGACTTCGCACCTTTGTGCGGGGCAACTTGCTCGACGCGAGGCTCTCCTTTGTTTTCAGTCGTTGCAGTGGAAGACAGTTTCGATATTAGTTGACAGGAAGATGGCAGTCAGTCAGGATTTTTCCCAGCTCACCTTGAACCTTCTGAAGGTGAAGTGTGGAGAGTATGGTCTCAAGAAGTCGGGAAAGAAAGCCGATCTAGTTGCGAGGTGAGTTGTTTTCTTCCCACAACAAAATCTTATTTTTTTGAAATTATTTGTGAATCTGAGTTTGTTATTTATCTGCTCGTGTCGTTTACAGACTTGCTCAGCATTTCTCTGAAGGCGACGGTGATGGCAAGGAAGGGCCACCTCCGCCAGCTGCAGCGCTTGCTGTTATTCCCCACGACCCTCTGGATTTTCCTGTTACTGGGTGGCAGCCGATTAAATCTGCGAGTGGAAGGCTACTCTCCCTGTCGTTCTCCATGCAAACTATGGTTTCTTATTTCGTGGACACTATGACCAGCGATGGACCCGCCAAGAATTTCAAAGCGCTTGCTGCCACTGATAGCAAGTCAATTCGTCTGTATCGAGCAGGTTATGTCCAGAAAATCGAACTGATGAAGGCCAACAGCCGTGTGTACTACCGTGCCCGCTGTCAGCCTGAAATGAAGACCAAAGCTGACTACAAACTTCGGCTCGTTGCTCAGTGTGACTCAGGATCTGCCACCAGTGTTGTTGGTGCTCAGTGCACTTGTCCTGCTGGCAAGGGTGTTACTGCCAGTTGCAAGCATATAGCTGCACTGATGTATGGCTTGTCCGAGTTCACTCTGCTTGGGTTTAGTGACGCTCCGACGTGCACGGACATGCTGCAAAAGTGGAACCAGCCTCCTGCAGGTGCAGGTAAAAAGAGTGAGCCCATGCTGGTTCAAGACATGGAGTGGCGTAGAGGTGGCAGTACCACTGACAAATCTGCGCCAAAGAAACGTAAGCATTCTGCTGCAGAAGTACTTGACCCTCGTGCTGTTGCAAAGCGGATGGACTTTGCCCGGCGTTTGGAGGAATACGCCAACTCAACCATTCACTCCAACTCCATCCACCTAGCATTGCCTCTTGTTGCTGGTAGCTCAGGATTTGCTGCTAAGCAGAAGGAGGACAGGTTGCACAGAGCCCAAGCGCAGAAAAAGGAGAGACTGGCTAGGGCAGGGGAACAGAAGGACAAGTGGCAGGTTGAGCACAGCAGATCAGGTGATGTGACACCTGTGCCATCTGACTGCGAGTGGCTAACTGAGGACAAGCAGATGCTGTGGTATGAGTCCAATGTCATACTTACTTCTGAAGAAGCCAATGCCCTGCAAGAAGCCACTGCATCCCAAACAACAAGTGAACTCTGGAGGAATGAACGAAAGAAGCGTATTACAGCTTCCATTGCCCATACTGGAGCTCATCGACGACCTCAGACTGACCCGTCATCCCTCATAAAAACTATCATTGATCGGCCGGCGTTCACCACTCCTGCAACCAGATGGGGGATTGATCATGAAGAAGAGGCACGATGTGCCTACGTAGCCCACCAAGCCAAGTCTGGCAAGCTGATAGATGTTGTTGCATGTGGCTTATTTGTGCATGCTGATGAATGCTGGTTTGGTGCCAGTCCCGATGGCATTGTTAGGGATGGTGATACATCACTTTTGCTCGAGATTAAATGCCCGTTTGTTGCTAGAGACCAAAGTCTAGCAGAGGTAGCTGGGTCTACTGCATCATTTTGTTTGTCCAACAAGGATGGTGTGCTTTCTCTCAAAACAACACATGCCTACTATACACAAGTGCAAATGCAGCTCTTTGCTGCAGGCCTTCAATTTTGTGACTTTGTAGTGTGGTCTCTCTGCAATGATCTTTTTGTTGAGCGCATTTCATTTTGTGAAGTGCATGTCAAGAAAACTCTCGCAGCTTGCCGAACATTTTATTTTGATCATGTTCTCCCGAAACTGGCTCTGTGATCAAGTTTCTTGGTAATAGATATATTCCTCGTCATCTGAGATGACCATTGCTCACTTTGCTCCAGTTCCTGTAGTCTTGACCGTTTACATTCTTCCCTGATTTGTGGCAATCTTTTCTTCTGTAAGTGTGTCTGAACTGTTCTATACGCTGCACTCTATGTTCTTTATTATAGCTTTTTTTGTTCTGCCCTGTTCTGTAGCTCCTTCTTGATATAAACGCCGTGATTAGATGGTGGATAGTTCCATCAGCTACCGGCTTCCTGCATTTGTACATGATTAGGTAGTGTTGTATACATGTACCCAAGACAGTGGAACTCTGCTGTAAACAGTGCGTTATAGTAAATTATACTGCCATTACTGGTAACCACTACAAAAAACGGCACGTACAACTGGTTTACAATAGCTCGCCATTCCGTGTTACAACGGAGTTCAAAAAGGCATGAACGTTACATGAGTATTCGTATTTACTTCAAAGTAAGCGGCACTTGCAGCAGTCACAGGCCACATTTCCTACCTGGTGAACAGCACAAACAGACAAATAGGAGCATCACTACTTCTACTTCGAAGTACGAAGTCCTGAGTGAAATAAGCATCATTGTGTAGGGGCACCATTACTCACAACATAACACAAAGAAAAGAGGGGAAGAAAATACCGAGGCCACGTAGGAATATCGGCATGCGCAAAAAGCTTTCAACAGAGCGGCCTGGTCATAAAGCAAGAATTACATAGACGCCCATCTTCATCATCATTCTGACACATATGGTGGTAGCGTGAGTTACAAGACCTACAAACTCTAAGAAGTGGGCCATCTGAGCGCTTGCAAAACAAACATACGGGAGTGGTCACATAGGCAGCAGCGGCTACAGAAGAAGATGGCACGCTGATAGCAGCAGCAGTAGCAGCTACAGGAGATGGCACGTTCGTAGCAGCAGAAGTAGCAGCTACAGCAGATGACAACTTGGTAGCAGCGGAAGCAGCAGCAGAAGCAGTAATGGCAGGTGAAAGAAATGTGCCAGCTGAAACAGCCACTGCAGAAATGTTTGCATCTGGTGATATCTGGGCAACTTCTGCAGCAGAGGAAAAGTGTGCAGACTGTGTCGATGGCTTACTAACAGGCGGAGGTACCAGGGGCTCCATGTAGTTAGTGAGGAATGCACACACAAATATGATCTGCTCAGCCAAAGGGCACAACACGGAAGATAAGAAGTGAGTTATCCTGAAGTTCTTGATCCTTTCCATTGCTCTCTCCACATGAATACGCACGCTAGCAATACGCCGAGTTTCGATCACCTCTTCTTCATCAAGCTGATCTCGAGAACCAAGAAACGGAGGTATGTTGAGATCGACACCCTCCGGTAGCAGATCGGCAATGTCGAAACCACGGTCAGCCATGATGGCATCACCCTTCTCCATCAACTTCATTAGCCCACTTCGCTTTGTCAGTTTCTTATCAGAAATGCGCCCGCCGTAAAGAGGAGACAGAAACGATATTGCACCGGTAGGTGTCACAACAACTAACAGTTTGAAAGTGTTCCTGTTTTTGTAATTCGACCAGGTGGCTGCTTGTACAGTTGGGTTGGCTGGCTTCTCAATGGGAAACTCTGTTGCGTCAATAATTACCCGGGTGCGTGGGTACTTGTCTTTGAAGACGTCGGGCATGTAGCGATCAATCAGAGCCCGGCTCGGCCAAATGTCCACTTCTTTCATAGAGAAGTACATGCAACGAATGTACGTTGAAAATATTCGGGACACCATGGATTGATCTATTCCGAATCGCAGTGCTAAATCTGACTCAGGGAAAGCATGCCGAAGTTTGACAAGGGTCAATAGCAACTCGTCTTCATACGCCAATGCTCTTCGTCTGCCACGGCTGTCCTGGCCAAGGAAATCAGCTGGCACTTTAGTAGCAAAGCACATGTCTTGACATCCACACCGCAACTGATCCAGCAACAAGTCAAACGCCAGAGAACTCAGGCCCGTGTAAAACAGTACAATCTTGTTGTCATGTCGGATGTTCGAGTAATGGAGTTGGCATTTCCGCAAAGCTTCTTCCGATTCATCCAAATTGTACAAGGCCTGCTCCAACTGGGACCGCAACTTAGCCACTTGTGCTTCCAAAGTCTTTATTTTGTTCTCTTGGAGAACGGGAACTTCACCATAATCATGGTCAGCTAAAAGTGTTGCAGCCTCAGGCACCGATTCATCTGTGACTGGTAAATCAACATCGTCATCAATATCAATCGCTTCAACGGGTCGACTGACTTCGCCTGTCGAAACACGGCTCTTCCTTTTCACTACGACGGCTTTGTCCAAGAAACGGGAAGGTGGCTCGTCCTCCGTCACAGGTCGACCACCAGGAAAGTGCACCCCACAGACATACGAGTTTCCAGAAAGAGGAGTGTTGACTCTTGGTATTTTGGCAAGCCACTCGGCCCTGATATGCCGGCGTCGATCCGAATCTTTAGGCAAACGATGAAAAGATACAGCTTTACAGACCTCTGCTGTTCCTCCGCAGCCAACACGAGCCAGGTCTGATCCACATAGACGACGCTTCACAAACACTGTTCGTCCTTGCGAGTTCGCATCATCAGACTCAAACAAACCAAACTTGCAGCTGCTTTTACGATTTGAGCAGCCAGGGACGATACAATGAGCGTTGCTTGGCATGATTGTGTCAGCTGCTTACTGATCTCTAACTAACTTGCTACTTATACACAACAGCAAACTGTGACAACCCTTGCCTTCCAAGAAGGAAATAAATGTCTTGCTTTGAGTTTGATTCTTCACCAACACAAAGGAAAAAAAATTGTACATTGTACTTCAGCCTCAGCAAACGCGAAGCAGGTACGTAGGGCTCTACGATTATCAGAGTTTCCACGCGTGCATGCATGAGACTGCATGCTGCGCTGCGTGGTGCAAGTACAGTGTCGAGGTCGTGAAGTTGCCCCGCACAAAAACCGCGGGAAAATTATGCATAGGTGCCATTGTAACTTCTCATTCTCACACTTTTCCTGTAATCTTGCGCCCATGTTTTGTGATGTAAATCTGACCATCTCCACCTTATATCATCCTATTCAATATCACCTTCTCTGACGAGCCAACCGCGTCCATTTGCTGCACAGCACGTTTGCCAGTTATGGAAAAAATCTTGGCAGCGTAAGTTCATACCGGGAAAGTAGCAGATGCCGCGCAACATCTCGTACATCACTGTCCACCTACCGTGCTCGGACATCCGATGCGCTTCTTCCACTACATGTGGTATCAGGGATCCTGGGATGATCAGCACCGTCATATTCCCGACTGCCGGGAGCCTGAAGCTGCGAGATAACCCTCCATTATCCATAACAAACTGGTCTCTGATCCTTTTGAATGGTTTGATGTGTTTCCTGTCATCTGCATCAAGTAGCCACTTGCCATCCTCAATGATGGCTCCATTGCGTTTTAGCACAACACCAGTTGCCAGGTCAGACGCGTCGCAGTAGACTGCCCAGTTGCTGTCAGACGTTGATGGCACACGCCAAACTCCACGCGCAGGGTCACCACATGCCAGATGCTCAACTACTTCCTCGTACACCGTACATTGCCATACAGAACTGGATCGTCTTTCCCAGTTGTTGTGCTTGCCATATGCTTCAAGTACGAAGAAACGGGTTGGGGCCGAGCGCATACTGGCTAGTGACAGGTCAGTCGTACGGTCCACTGGAAGTCGCTTCGCTTTGTCAGGGGACACTCAAATGCAAGATGTATGCCATCTCGCCTCAACCATCTGGTGCTGGTAGCAGATGTCGACAGCTGCAATGCAAAGACTTGTGCAGTAGACAGTAGCTCTGGTGGGTTTGTGGGCAGGTTGTGGCGCGCCAGTTCAGCAGCTCCTGCTTCTCCTGTCGATGCTGGCGTCAGCACATCATCAACATAATTGTCCACCTCAGGCCAAGGCCGTGTAACAAAACTTTCTGGGCAATTGCTAGCCCAAGGCACACTAGCGTCATCACGGACAGCTTGTCACGACTGCCTGGTAGCATTGAAAAGCAGGATCGACGTGCACTTGCAGGTAAGCCTCGTGTATGTCGACGAGCTCATACTGCTCTCCGACTTTCCGCCATTAACAGATCTTCTCCGCACAGGCGGGCGCATCCGTGCTGGGCCTGGACTGGATCAGGTTATTGAGGCCATGGTAGTCTAGGCACGGACGTACCAGAGTGCTAGCCTTGTGTGTCTGGCTCTTCGTCAATAGTGGAATGAAGGCTCCAACACATCCGTGGATGGCCTCTTAAAGCTCCACTAGCCAACAAGTATCTACCCACGAGTCCAGTTCTGCACAGAATTGAGCCTGTTGACCATAAAGAGACCTCTGTGTGCGTACTGGCAAATGACTGAGCCGATCGGCCAGGTTGGCGCTTGTCCGTCCGTCCTTCCAGCGCCACTGCTCGGTGTCTTCATCCCACCGGATTAGACCGTTGTCGGCTTCTAGCGTTACCCCTATATCATCTTTCGTAACGGTCACATGACGTACGGGGTGTTAGCCGGCACACACGGTTGTTGCTGTGATGCCAGAAGTTGCTATGCCCGGGCCAAACGTAGCAGGGTTTAACTCACCTGCTTTGTCATAGCCTATGCTGACACCTCCGATGCCAGCAATTACGTCTGCGCAGAGATGTGCATATGCGCCAACAGATGTGAGTGATCCGACAACACTTGCTTTCACATGCAGGTGTACGAGACACAGGTCCAACTAGACGTTGAAGCTGGAGGTCTGCTTCAACCAGGATCTCAACAGGGTTGGCATCCAGAGCCACCACTAATGTCTGTCGGTCGATTCCGTATGAAATTTTGGCGTGCTCGATAGATTTGCACTGTATTATTAATAACTGAGGACCAAGAAAAGTGTTACCAAACAATATGAATGCCAAAGGAAAAGAGCCAAGAGAAAGAGAAAGCGAAAGAGAGAGAAGGAAAAATCAATAAGGAGAGACAAATGCGTTTATGGAAATTCGTAGACATGGTACGGTCCGCACAGGGACGTATATGAGCAGGTACACTGAACCTGGGAGACGTATACAAATA